CCGTAGTGATATCACCTTGGAAACCTGAGAAGGGGTCGCTATGAGTCAGATCCGACTCAATGGGAATGTCATTTTTTTTTTTTTTTTTTTTGGTTAATCAAGAATCAGAAGCCATAAACTTTCACCCAAACCACTATGAAAAGTTAAACAAACAAAACATAACTAGAAGCCACCCCCCATTCCCTCCTTATACTTCATTCCAGTCACTATCCACCCCCCACCAAATAGTGTAGCCACTATCTTGATTTCTAAACCATAGATTAGCTTTGCTTATCCTCAAACTTCTTATCAACTAAATCTTACACTATATACTTTTTGTAGTTGACCTCTTTCACCCAATATTATGTTCGTGATAATCTCTACATTCTTGTGAACGGTGGTTAACTTGATTATTCTCATTGATGCATACTATTTGTATTAGTTTGCCATTGCTGCTGTAATAAATTACCACACATTTAATAGCTTAAAACAACACAGTTTATTATTTCACAGGGTATCAGAAGTCTAAAATGGGTCAAAAGGGCTGTTCCTTCTGGAGGCTCTAGGGAGTATTTGTTTTTCTTGCCTTTTCCACCTTCAAGAGGCCACACACATATTCCTTGGCTCATCATCCCTCCCTTGCATAGTTCTTACCTCTGGTTCCATTATCACATCTCCTCCTACTCACTCTGACTCTCTTGCTTCCCCCTTACAGGGATTCTTGGATTACATTGGGCCTACCAAGATCATCCAGGATAATCTTACCATCCGCAAAGATCCTTTTGCCATGTAATGTAAAACATTCGCAAGTCCCAAGTCCTGGCAATAAGCATGTGGACTCTGGGGGGTTATGATTCAGCCTACCACATTATTCCATTGGATTATTATTCCACAAATTATGGACCCATTCTTTAGTGGTTGGGAATTCTGGTCCTTTCCAGTTCAATGCTATAATAGGCAGTGCTGCTATGAATATGGGATTATTCATGTGTTTTGGTGAATAGACATACATAATTCTGTGGGGTATATGCCTAGGACTGAAATTTCTGGGTTAAGAAATACTGTCGACCTGTTTTCCAAAGTAGTTGTACTAATTTACAGTCCATGGAAGTTAATAAGAATTTCAGCTGCCCCACTTCAATTCATCACCACTTGGTAGTTTCTGATTATTTTTCATTTTAGGCAGTCTGGTGATATGTCATGGTGTCTCATTCTGGTTTTATTCTGCATTTCACCTTTTCATGCATTTATTGGCCATCTGAATATTCTTTATTTGTGAAGTGCTCATTCAAGAATTTTCTCATTATTAAGTTTCTACCTCTCTGATGGATCTGTAGGAATTCTTTATGTGTTCTAAGTATGAGTCCTTTTTTGATCTATCTATTAAAAATATCATGTCCCACTTTAAGGCTCATCCTTCCACTATCTTCATAGTGTCCTTGGATGAACAGGAGTTCCTAATTTTAATAATGTTCAATTTTTAGAGTCTTTTCCCTTATGGTCTTTTGTGTCCTGTTTAAGAAACCTTTACCCACTGAAGATTATGAAGATATTCTATATTTTCTTTTACAAGCTTGGTTTGCCTTTCACATTTGGATTTCCAATTCATCTGGAATAGATTCTTGTGTATGGTTTGATTCTTGTGTTGTTGTTATGGGTATCATTTTCACCCAGAACCATTTATTAAAGGAACCATCATTTCCCTCACAGCACTGAACTGTCTCCTTTATCGTAAGTCTGGTGACCGATGAGCGTAGGTCTTTTTCTGGACTCTGTTCTGTACCATGGGTCTAGTTGTCAAAGCTTTTCATCTTGGTTTTATTCTGTGCAAGTCCTGTGGGCCTGACTTGGGAAGCTTCCCTCTCAGAGGTTTGTTGCTGCTACTGTTGGTCGGCAGGGATACCTTGGCTCCAAGACCCTTTGTGTCTCTACTGGGGTCTGTCCTGAGTGGCATTGTTAGACTCAGCTTCGCCACTTTCAGACTCTTGTCAGGATCAGTGTTCCCACAGCTGTGATACTTTAGGGATCAGCTCTGGTTGTCCCTTGCTCCATGTTCCTGTGCCCACCCCCGGCTCACAGCCTTGGCCTGGCAGCCAGTCTTCTGATGTACCTGTCTGAGCCCTTCCCTCAAGCCAACCTAGGCTAGGCTCACATTTGTTTGTTTGGGAGGATGGTCGTAGGAGACCTGTCCTTCCATTGTGAGGCCTACAACTCCTCAAGGACTGTTTCTAAGATCTAATTGCTATGGAAATTACTGATGTTTACCTCTCATATTGACAGAAATTAAAATGTTTCATAACTCCCAGTGCTGGTTAGTATACTAGTTTCCTGGGATTGATGTAACAAATCACCACAAACTGAATGGCTTACAAGAGAACAATAGTCTCTCACAGTTCTGATTGATCTTTTTCCAAAGAAGTATTCAGTCTCATTAATTCTGTCTTCTATTGATTCAGTTCTACTCCTTTGCCCTTTCAGTGTTACCTATTTTTGAAAATTTAGTATTAATCTTCTGGTTTTCTATCTGTAGGGTTTATATAATTTCTAATTTTTCATTTATTTTGTCATTTTGTTCTTGCATTTTCTTCTGAAATTGTTCTAGGGTTTTGCCTATGTTTTCCTTAATTTTGTCAGTGTTTTCCTTGATCTATCTCTCAATCCTTTGAAGATACCTAAATATAGTTCTTTCAAATTCCTTATCAGGGCATTCCAATCCTGCTTCTTCCCTAGGCATGTGTCTGGGTCTGTATCCTGCTCCCTTGTTTCTACCATTTTATCTTGCTTCTTTGTGTGGACTGTGATGGTCTGTTGTCTCTGAGACATTCTGAAATTGTTGTATTCAGATCTCTGTTAACTGTTTGTGAAAAGCAGCTAAGGGTGAGCCAAGGCTCTTCTTGGTGGTCATTTATCATTGGCCAGTTGGTGGAGAAGGAAGGGGTGATTCTCACTCAGTAAGTGAAGTTGCAGGAGGTGCGGGTATAGTTGTGTCATATGGGGACTGTTGCTGTTTCCCACTCAGACAAAAACAACAATAGAAAAACCATCAAAAAAGTGAAAGCAAGTGGACAAAAAACACACCATGTAAACACACAGGAACAATCACCAAAAAAAAGAAAAGAAAAACTCACAATATCTGGGGAAAGGGCAATAAGAGAAAAAAGGTAGTGTAGAAGAATAATGAAGAAAAAAAAAATGGGAAAAATGCAAAAAGAAAAAAAAAACAAGGAATGGGGTTAGCCATGAGAAAGAAAAAAAAAATGGGAACCAGGAACAGGGAAAAGAGAAAAAGCTGAAAACTAGAACTGGGAAGGGAAGAACAAAGAATAACAATGAAAAGGACAAAATAATAATAACAATACTTTTAAATCAGACAAAAACAAACAAACCAAAAAAAAAGAAAACAGAAAAAAAAAATTGGGGCAGGGAGAAGGG